CCTAAAAAATCCACTGCGCAGGCTCGAAGGGTTAATGACCTTTCCCAAATCTTCGCTTGCAAAGACTGGCCATACTGTTAGCTTTCAGATGCTGTGAAAATGCAGTTGTTCTACTATTGGGTGGACTTTGGCTCTTATGTGGCCTGAAGTGACGCATAAAACTTATGGCTACTCACCCCATCCCACTATGATTAAAGTACAATAAATACCTAGGCTGTCACTGGGAAAGTCACTGTTCTCAAGCACAGTTTGATCTGTATTTACTTCCTGGCTTCATATGAAAGAGTCAGTTAAACATGTGTTATCAAAAGACACATGTTTACAGCTGTGATGGCAAAATTCCAGTGGAATTAAATGGAACTTTTGCCAGTTGAGTCAATTAAATACTTTTATTTCCAATTTTAGCTTCATCTGGATTAAAAAAGAAAAAAAATCACAACCCTGTGTTATTATACACTATAGTCACAGCTGAACATCTTTAAAAGTGGACATTTTCTTAATTGCAATATTCTTCTCTCAGGAGAATTGCAGCTCTCCTTGCAGGACAGTAGTCTCTTAAAGAAAAAATTAGATAAGCAATACCTGAGATTTCTTTTTGGTGCAGAAACCATTTAATTTTCTTTGCTAGAGAATGTGTTCATGAGTTTGGCTCTGTTTTTAATAACTGATACTATCAGAGTTATCTTTAGAGGAGCGTTGGAAATAATTGATTTCAGTTGCTTGTGATCTCCACAGGGCTGAACCAAAGCCATTGCTTAGTTTGGATGGGGACAAGACATGAAAATGTGGTTAATGGGAAGGGGGAGAGACAATTTGAAGGTATTGCTGAATTATGTCCCGTGCACAAATTAGAAAGCAGTTCCTGGGATCTGAAGGCTCAAATGACAAGCTTTGATACCCACTTTCATCCCTGAGGGTGATTAATCATTGCAGTAAACCCACATAGAGAGTGGTGGCTTGTCTGGTTGGCTTTCTGTGAGCTGTGCTCTAATGACAGCAAAAGTGACTTGGGTGAATTTTGAATGTTCTGTCATTTATTAGGAGCAAGCCAAGAGGTCTGTGAGTCTGTTGAGTCCATTAGGAAAGCTCATAGAGTGCTCGATTTTTAACTCATGAGCATTTTGCCTTAGGAATAGGATATTCTTGCTTCAGTGTTTATGTTCTCTTTAACTTGGATAAACTTTACTGAAAATTAGACTAAAAGAGGCCTAAGGCAGACTTTTATCTTGGCCTTCAGTATTTGCTTAAGATCTTGATATCCATGTGATTTCAAAGGAGGTTCGTCCTGCACAAGAGCTTCATCACTTGTTCCAGAATGAACATTTTATTCTTAGCCTGAGTAGATTTGTTCCATGTTTAGCATTTCTTACTGCCATTTTATTCTGTGAACATCACATGTGGGTATGTGGTTTTGTGTGTGTTGAGAACAATCATTGAGTGCCTGAAGGCTGTGCTTTGAAAACATCGTGGCCATTGTCTTTGAAGTCACCAAGTAATGTTATCATACAGTAGGATAAGCAGTGATTGTTGTAATAAACATCTGTGTAGATTCCAGGAGGTTGTCATGGGCCAGTCTTCTTATGAAGAAAAAAGCAATTCACACATATAGACTTTGCCTTTTGCAAATTGCAAGCCTTTCCTTACAGGTCTTGAGTGGTAAGAGATAATTTGGATACATTCACCTTGTTACAAGGCGTGCAGCCCAAGTAGAGCATTGCAACAGATTAGTTTCTCCATATGTTTGAAGCAAAACAGGGCTAAGCAAATTTTAGGTATCTGGAAAAAAACACCCCTCCCCTCCAAATTTTGCAATTGAAGGAAATAAAAGGCATTAAAGGGAAACAAGAAATACCTTAACTATGCTAGGACAGTGGCAAAGAGCCTTGTAGAGGTAAGACAAAGAGCTCATCGTGATTTGGTTGAAAATTTTGTGCTCAGTGTGGAGTTACTGGTTGCAGAGGTGTGGCCTGTGTTTTCCACCTTGTTGGGTCACACGATATGTTGCCCTCCTGTTCCACAGAAGACCCAGAACTCCTCAGCAGATACTGAATCCCCTGCAGTTCAGCAGACTCTTATTTGATAAACTTCATGTGAGCAATTCTGTGCCAGTGAGGGGTTTTAATTACAATTTTTTCGCCACTTAGACTTTGTATTTACTTACTTGCTTCCATCAGACATTAGCTCATGAAGATAAAAAAATATCTTCTATGACTCCTTGAAATAATGAGGTATTCTCCAGCTGCTTTGCCCTAAAAGGTAGCAGTTACCTGAGCAGAGGGGAAGGAAAGAATCAGCTGAAATTGTAGATACCGCTCCTCCCAGGGCAGCAGCTGTTTTCTCTCTGGTTTGTGTTGATGAAGGTGCCCTATATTGGCTTTGATTCTGAAACTGGGTAAGCTGTGAAGCAGGGAGAGCAATTACCAGTGCTGGGAGGGAGGTCAAGAAAATGGGGGGGAAGTCCCACAAACCAGCCTGAGTTTGGTGTCTTTGAACTATCCAAATCAAACACAGACTTTATGAGAGTTTCCAAGTCATCAGTGGAAACTCAGGGTCTGGAATTTATAGTTTTGACACCTACTACAGTTTGACACCGCTTATTGTGATGGCTGCATATAGAAAGTGTTTTTATAGGATGCCATAGTGGTAGCACAGAAGGAGATGGAAAGCTGGAAGAAGGCACTACTTTCTCTGAATTACCAGATTTGTGACCTCCATGAATCAGACCCAAGGACAGAAATTTAGTGCCATGAGCAAGTGCAGGAACACAACTCACTGGCTGTGTATGTTGGAACATCAGAGTTTTATGACTGGGAAACACTCGGATTGGGCTTTATTTGTGGGGGACAGATGTTGACAGATTTTTGATGAAACTCCTTTTCTTATGTTTCAGCAAGATTATGCCATAACCCACTACAACTCTCACCACGTGTGTGTAGAGCCATCTTGTGCTGAACCACTCTTTAGTGGGTGAATGTTTGAAGAAAAATTGGCTGTAGAATTAAAAATTTTACTTTTCTGGGCCACACAGTAATTTATAAACAGCTTTGAGGCTCTGAGGATTCTTCTGACTTAACAGTCGTTGCACCTTGCTATAGACCAGAGGCAGCTTTCCAGCAGGAAGTGCAGCCTGGAAACTGGCTGATGCCTCTGCATACCACCTCCATGAAACCACCATGGCAGCAGGAATGTTTAAGACCTCAGGAATGACGTTTCCCTTGAGAGGCTGTCAGCGAAGGGATGGAAAAAGAACCAAATAATTTTTAATTTTCACCTCCTTCCTTCTCTGCCATCTGGTTTTAGATGAAAAATAACATATGGAACTATAATCCTGGTTAACTAATAAACACTGCCCACACTTTTGATCAAAGTGTGACCGAATACTATTTCCTTAGGTTTACCAGGTGAGAAAGGAGAAAAAGGCAATCCAGGTGTTGGAACGCAAGGACCCCGAGGCCCACCAGGATCTACAGGTAAAGTTACATTTGAAGCATCTGCATTAGACCACTCTGACCCAAGTGCAAAGCAGCTCAGACTGGCTCTGTCTTTCGCTTCTAAGGCTCAAGCAGCAGAAGTCAGCAGTTCAGGCACCTTAACTGTCATAATCTTCTTATTATGTAATATGATGTTGTGATGTGCCACATGATGGTGTTGTCAGTCACATGAGTAGTTTCCTTTTCCCTGTAATAAACTGCTTCTCCAAACCCAACTTTTTAATTTTTTTTAAGTATTATTTTTAGATATGGGTTCTTGAAGGGGAAGAAAGTAGTCTGGACTAATTGCGTTTGTTTTCTCATTGACTCAAGGTCATACCTAAGCGTGAGTTGACAGAGAAATGTATGGTAATTAAGCACATTAATCACAGGGATTTATATTTAGCTCCTGAAAAAGCAGAGGGGTGATATCCAGGTCCTGTTGAAACAGGAGTAAAATTGCATTGACTTAATTAGGATATTCTGGCCATGAGAGCCATGGTATCAAGGCACAGCATTACTCAGAAACTGTATGGAAAGGGAGTGGGGGAAATCAACAGCTGCACAGGCATCCAGGGCTGTCCCTCCCCCATGAAACTGCCTGTCTGGAAGTTTGATGCTTGGTGAAACATTTGCTTTAGTATAAATTTCTGGCTAAAAGCTATGTCTGGCAAGGAAGACGAAGCAGCGGCCAGAGAAGGAGGCTCATCGGGAGCAGGTCTCCTCTGGGGCTGCTGCTTTGCCTTCCTTGCCAGAGGCTGCAGTCTTTCCTTCAGCTTGCCCAGGGGAGTCAGAGCCAGGATGCCCAGCTGCTCTGCTCAGGCTGTGTCTTGGAAGTGTTTGTAGCACACTCAGTGCCATGTTTTCCAGGCCAAGGAAAGTGGCCTCAAATCCCTGCTTTCATGAAAGACACTACTCAGCTGTTTCATCTCCCCCTTTCTATGCAGGACCTCCAGGAGAAAGTCGAACTGGCAGCCCAGGACCGCCAGGATCAGCGGGCCCACGAGGTCCCCCTGGTCACATGGGACCCCCAGGCTCACAGGGTCCTTCTGGTCCCCCTGGGTACTGTGATCCGTCCTCCTGCGCTGGTTATGGCATGGGAGGTGAGTAGTCAGGAGCTGGGGCAGCTGCTGTCTGCACAGGCGAGGGTGGCATTTTCTAACAGCCAAAGTAAGATGGAGGCTACTGGTGAACCCTGTGCTAAAATGTGGCAGCTCCCAAAAAACCTGCATGTCCAGTGTGGCTGTACTTTGTGGGACTGCAGCACAAAGAGAAGGTGACCCCAGCACAGTGACCAAAGGAAGTCCACCATCTGATCCCAGCCTGTAAAACAGATCCTGCCTAGTGGGTTTTGTCCTGTACGTGTTTGTGTAGCTGTATGAGCCTGCTCCATCTCAGCGGTCTCTGTGTTGAACCCCCACCATGTAATGTTTGTGACAGCAGAGTTTTTTACATTTGTAGTTTCTCAGATGTGTTGCTGAACTTCCCCTTCCGTGTGCCTCTGAGTGGCATGAGAGCATGACCCTTACTAAAACCATAGTAGTGTAACCTGGCACAGGGATGCACGTGTCCATCATTAACCAGTGAAAGCCATCTGGAAAAATGATTCTTTCTACATCTTCTCTGTATCCTACTTTCCCCTCTCGTTATAGCACGGAGAGGCCATAGGAGGAAGTTAACACAATTACCAATCATTATGTCACCCAACCTAAAACTGAAATTAGTAAAGCACTAGTCTCTACAGATGTTACACATAAAGCATATTTGTTTGATGTTTACAGTTTAATCTGCCCTGAGCTGATTTGTATGTTTTACTTACCTGAATGTTTTTGTTGTCGTCTCTTCCTATCCTTTTCTCCTCACTTCCCCTCCCCGTTGTTCATTTCCTGTTTTAAGGCCCAATCCCTTACAATGGCTACCAATCCAGAAGGTGAAAGGCTCATTCTGGTTCAGGTCTCATTGGGCTGAAGGTCAGAGATGGATGCTGAACTGCTCTGTGCTTTCCAGCAACGATATTGACTACCACTAATGAACTTACAGCTGCTGTACATGCACTTGGCTTCCTGGCACTGCTAAAAATTATTGGCTGACCCACTTTTGCCTGTTAATCATGTATTCTTGCCCACAATTGGAATAAGCTAAAGCAGGCAGAGTGTGCAATGTATAATGAGCACAGTATTACAACTGGACATTTGACAAATTCTGGTGGTGGTTTCCAACTAACTTGGCTGTCTGTTGGTGGGTTTCCAATTGCTCCAGCTTATTAAATTTGTTAAATGTTTTCATTGTTCCTTTATGTGAAAAAAGATGTGTATTTAAAGATTATATATATATATACTCACACACGATATAGAAATATATCTATATATAAAATGTCAATTTCCTAATGAATGCTTTAATTTTCTACTCCCCTTCTCCTGTGTTAACCATATGAATACTCTTGGTGGTGGTGGGTTAAGGTGGATACGGTGAGCCAACTGATCAAGACATCCCAGTAGTGCAGTTGCCACATAGCTCCTACCAAATCTATGACCCTGAGGACCTTTATGATGGTGAGCAACAGCCGTATATAGTTCACGGGTCCTACCCCTTACCATCCCCATACTCCCAGTCCTATCCATCACCTCATCTTGCTCAACCAGAATTTACTCCTGTTCAAGAAGAGATGGAAGCCGTTGAACTGAGATCCCCAGGAATCAGTCGCTTCGCAAGGAGGATAGCCAAAAGGAGCGCCAAGAGTCCAGCACGCACAAAGGCAAATGGAAAAAAACCCTCTCAATGAACTGTTTAAAAAAGGGAAACATTTTATGTGCATCTGTTTGGCCTTTTGTCCAGGTGCCTCACCTGTCACGGAAGATGTTTACAGGCTCTTATGTTAAAGGAGAAAAAAGTGTACATGGCTGGTTGACACAACAAATAATGGTAATTATCTTGCATGCCAGAAGCTTAGTTGTTAGTGGGTTGGTGCTAGATGATGATGAAAGGTCACTTGTAGACCTTTCTCTGGAGTACTGTTCCGTTCACTATTCAAACTGTATAAAAACATGCGTCCAGCTAGTTGGTGTATGTAGAACCATCCAGAAAAGTTAATGTTTGTTATCAGTTTTTTCCTAGTTGATTATGTTCTGTTGGTTTTGGATTAATTGCTTTACTAGCAGAGTAACCCGACTAAATTCACTGGAGAACAATCATAATCAGGTTTCCTTGAACCCAGCTTATTACCCTTTTGCAAAGAATTCATATGTTAACAGGGTGTTGTTTTTTCTAACTCACATGATATAAATACACAAGAATGTTCTGTGGGAGCACACTGATAATTTATTGTGAACCTCTTTGATTTCTGTTTTGTATGCAAATAAAAGTGGCAGGCTTTTGTACGGTAATTCTGTATTCATTTAACTCTGAACAGTTGCATTAGATTAGGGGACAGATTGCAATGAGGAAGAAATACATTCCCCTTTTTCAACACTTTTGGGCACTTAGTATAAACATTATTTAGCCTTATTTTTAAAATTATATATGGACAAATGTAGAGAGTAACTGTGCAATGAGTTGGTTGTACCATCTGTGGAGGTGAGATTTCACATATTGACATGCCAAAGTCAAAAGACTGGCAGGTGTAGTTGGGATGGCAACTTGGATCAGCTAATGAGGAGAGGAAGGAAAAATGCCAACCCAATCACTTGAGCACAGAGCAATTCCTTATCTACAAATAAACAAGATAAGTTATGAAGTGACTCAATAAACAGCTTTGAACAGCACTGAAGACTAAGCATCAAAGCAAGACTTAGCTCAAAATGGCCATTTAAGCTGAAAGCACGGGTTTGGGACACTTCTAATTCAGCCTTATACAGAGATGGAGAGACTGGTCTGTGCATCCCAGGGCTGTCTTCCTGCTCATCCCTGCATGCAGGTCTCTCCATTCTCAGTTAAGAAAAACTTGTCAGGTTTCACCTCTGGCCACCCCAGCAGCTCCCTTAGTTCACCAGGAGGAAGATAACAGGTACCTTTACTGTGTAATCTCCAATTATCTCACCTAGAATTCAACCTCATTAGTAACACACACCATTTGTACATGTGATTAACCATGGGCAAGCTCTGCCTGGGGGCTGGATACCTTTGTAGGCTGTGCTTGTTTTCCCATAATTTCTTTCATCCCTAACTCCCACTACTTTCTTGGAGAAAGGTGATAAAAGTTGATGGAATGTGAGCTGAGTCAGTTCCTTACCTGCACTTGCATTTAAAGTAGAATGTGGTAGAAAACTATAATGCAGTTTATGGACCTCATCCTTCAGCAGCTCAGCCCTGGTTTTTACAGAACAGAGGCCCCAAGTGAGCACAGCTCTCTGCACACACGTGCGGGGAGAGCCTGGCACACACAGCTGCCATTCAGAAAGATATTATTACAGCTAAATACAGGTAATGCCTGTGCCACAGGATTAATTTCCCTACTGGTACTTGGCTGTGAACACCCACATTAATTTACCCCAAATGTGAACTCCCTGTGCCCTCCCTGGCTGGCACACTCCTGCCCATGTGTTGTACTGACACTGTCTGGACTGTTTTCCGAGACACGGTGGGTGACCTGCAGGTCCTGTGGAAGTGACTGAGAAGGTCACTGATGGAAAATCAGCCTTCAAGCAATTCTGCCTGTGTTGTCTCAGAAAGACTTTGAGCCTCCTGTTAGTTAATTTGTTTAAACTTTATATCTAAAATGCCATTTACTGGCACCCCACTGACCAGAATACTTCTGGTGTCATTGGTCGTACAGTCACTTGCTGGGCATACCTTGGTAATAATAAGTAACTAACTGGTGGGCACTACCAACTTATAAAAGTATTATTCAAGATTTGTATGTTTGCCAAAAAAAGTAAGACACAGACAGTTAAGATTTCCTCCAAAATGCAGTCTCTGAATAATCAAGAGTGTCTCGTATTTTTTCCAGACCACCTAAGGAACTGAAGTTGCTGACTGGAGTATTCAGCACATGCTGATGCCACCCATATCTTACCAATACACCCTCTGTACTGTGTCCTTGGACAGAAAAGAGCATTTACTGCAACCTAGTGCTTTTAAAAATACTTTCACTTGTTAACGAAATGTTACTGACTTGGAAATGCAGGCTGCATTTTCACAGGGTAGAAATGTTTCCTAGGATAAGCCCACCTGAATGCCAAAGAAATGCCTGAGAGCAAACCATTATTTCATGTAATGAAATATGATTATAAACAAACCAATGTTTTTCTTCCCATATGATGCTTGTACAAAACAAATATAGAAAACTCAAATTCTCCTCACCAAACATTGCCAAATTTTGCCTGTAACATCTTCCACAACACTGAAAACAACAGGTGCTTCACTTACTTACACAACAGATTTGGCTTGAAGGTTTTCCATGCAGAAAAGCAGTAAGGAATTTCAGGGAAGTAGCTTGCAAAAGCAAAGTAATTTTTAAGACTTTTTTGCATCATTCAACACTTAAGTTCAGTTTCCTCACTTGGTTTTCATAATAAAAATGTTGCTGCTTTGTTCTGTAATATGTTCTTTAAAGTAAGTAATCGTGTTCTGGTGGCTTGAATCAAAATCAGATTTGTGCTGAAGGGTGGAAAAAAGGAAGAGTATCTCCCTGTAATTCACTTTTACTGACTGTTATTTCAACAAGCTCTTTAGTGAAATCAGCTATGCTGGGTCAAAGCTTGAGGATGAAAAACCATGGCTGGTGACCAAAATTATTGACTGCTCTTGCTGCATAGAATTCAAGTTTTGTAGCTTTTAGAGTGAGATACTTCATTTTAGTAATCAATGTACTGTTTCTATGAGATGCAAATATTCATTAAAAAGGTATCAATTCTTTAATAATAGTATCAAACCAAATGTCACTAATAAATACCAGATCATACAATGCAGAGTACAGGTGGTATTAACAAGATAATATCTATTTTTATCTGTTTCAAATACAATCATTTTCATAATCTTGCCAAATCAAGTTTGCTAACAGCTGTTAGAAACATTCAGTATAGAAGAGTTGACTGAGATGCACAGATGCTTCCATGTTAGAAGACTTTTCTTTCAAGGAGGAGAGACATTCCTGATGGCACTTCTTCTCCACTTATTGCTATTACTTCCATCGAAAATCTTTAGGTCTGGAAAAAACAAAAAAAAAAGTGTTTTAAGAACTGTGTGGCACTACAGGGGCTTTGCTTTAAGGCTGCAGTAGCAGCCAGGTCTAGTTTTATTTCCTTATTCTGGTGCTTGAAGTTTTTTTGTCAAAGAATATTTTCTGGATTAAATAAAAAAGACAGAACAAATTAAAGAAATTTCCTAAGACCTCTAAGAATTTACAGACATCACGACTAGTTGGTCAAGGTGTTTCTTACGAGCCACTCCTATTTTCCCAAGCAAAACAAAAAGCATCTTGAACTGAGTGCAGTCTCACAGTGTTTTAAACACTGGTACTAATTTGTCTCCACTTTTAAAAACTGAACAATCTCCGCAAAAGATGGCAAGTTTTAAGTTAACAGCACAGTTCACCACAACACTGCTGGAATAGTTAAAATTGATGATTTAAAAAAACAACCCTTCTTTGAATCTTAAAGGTTCTGCAATCCCCTCTGCTTGGATGACAAATGTGAAAAACTGAATTCAGACAGCAGCAGACTGCTGAATTTTGTTCATCAATAGAAATGAAAGGCAGACAGCAATGGAAGCAGGGAGTTTACTTTGGAGATTGAGAGTTTACATGGCTGCAGAGATGCCATACAGAAATCCAATACTTAATCAGTCTTATGTTGCTGTTCTAGAATTTCTCAAGCAATAGCATTGCAAAGTCATTAACGCAATTCTTGTATGAGCCTGTAGGTTCTTATGTGAAAGCAACTCTGGAATTCAGTCTGTGCTATTTCAAGTGTATTGTATAAAATCTGATGATTGTATAAATTTTACAGAACAACCATAAAAGAGAGTTAGTGTTCATACTGTGATGTATCACAAGGCTTTTTTGTTTTCCATTTAAATGGCATATTCTAACATTTGGACTTGTACTTTTTGTGCAAGACAGAACTGCTGTAAGCTCCATATATGTTGTTTAGATACTTGTTTAATGTTGGACTTGAATATACTCAACGTTGTGTACCTTGTGGCTGGTACACACCAGAAAGTCAAGTCACACTTCACAGAATCTGGGATTTCAGTACTTGCACATATTCATAGAATCACAGAATGGTTTGGGTTGGAAGGAACCTTAAAGATCATTTAGTTCCAACTCCTCAGCCATTCCACATTTTGTCACTTAGATCTCAGCCACGCACACCAGCAAAGGTATTTAATTGTATCAAACTGTTTGTGGAGTAGTAAGAGTGCAGGATTTTGAAAACCTATCAGCAGTGACTTAAAAGTTTTATCACTGCATCCATCCTAGATGGATGGACAGTGCTGAAAGATTTTAGGCAATGCAGCATGGCAAAGACATCCTTGTCTTCCAGTTTACAGTTATTACTCTGGTTTTTCATAGGCCAATTCATCCTCTTGTGTGTTGCTCAAAGGATTTTGCATTTTTCTATGAATAGCTCACTTAAAACGTCACTCTAGGATTATGCTTGAGTGCTGCAGAACTATGGGTCTCACAGTACTTTGTTGTGGGGTGGAAATCCATTTTTTCTTTCTTGCTTGTAGTCTGCATTTCAGCTGTAATGCCCATTGTCTTAAAAGTTAAATGCATGAAACACTGGACTCTTAGTTTGCAGTCTTACAAAGTTAATGAAGCTTAAAGGCAGGATTTTCTACACTGAAACAGTTGTGTGAACAAATACAAAAGTTTTTAAAGCCTTTTCTATTGCCACAGTACTTGTACTTGGCTTTTGGACTGCTTTTGAAGAGTCCTTGGCACTAGGAAAGCTAAGCCTTGAAAAACTCTGCCTTTGGCAAAAGCGTTATAGGCACTTTGTCAGACAAAGAGTATGAACCACAAAACCCTTGTCTACTCAGGGAGAATTATGAACTACTTGTGAACACTAACGGATAGACTGCTCATTGATAAATGACATGAATCCATGCAAGAGTGTTCTTCGATGGCAGTGCTCTTGCCCTTCCTCAGCAAAGCCCTGAGTTTATGCATTTGGAACAAAGAAAATGCAACCTTCTCGAAGAGACAGTTCAGAAATTCACGCAAAGGCAAGACTTCACATAGCTGCTTGTTTGTTTTTTTTTTAAAGTAACATTCTTGGGGGGGAAGAAACCACAACTTTGCTGTATATTGACAGCAGACTCCAAGGCAAGAGGAAAGAGGCGGCAGAATGTGAAATCCCTGAAATCTGTGCTGAAAGGCAAAGTGTTGTGGGTTCACTGAAAATATGCAACATTAGTCACTGCAGTAGATGTCTGCCACCAAAAAAAGTAAAAAATATCTGTCCCACTAACATTTTTATACTCCACATAAAGAGCTTTAAGACACAGTTCAGGAAATTCTAGGCAAAATACTTAGCAAATTAAATTAACATCTTGTTCATTACACCAGGCCTCTGAGTGCTTCTCTCTTAACAAATATGTTACCACTAAGTAAAAGGAACTGAAGAACTGGTCCTATGCTCTGATTACAGCTTTTAAACCCCTTAATGCTGCCCAGGGAGGTCATGGAGTCTCTCTCTCTGTAGACATTCAAAACCCATCTGGATGTGTTCCTGTGTCACCTGCTCTGGGTGACCCTGCCTTGGCAGGGGGGTTGCACTGGATGATCTCCAACCCGAATGACTCCGTGATTCTGTAAATTCTCTCAACTTTTATCCATCAGTGCTAGTGAGGCCTCACCTAGAGTGCTGTGTCCAGTTCTGGGCTCCCCAGTACAAGAGAGACATGAATGAACTGCAGAGTCCAACAAAGGGCCACAAAGTTAATTGTGGGATTATGGGACTGGAGCACCTCACATAGTCAGGCTGAGAGAGCTCTGACTGTTCAGCCTGGAGAAAGGAAGGCTCTGGGGGATGTCACTAATGTATACAAATACCTGAAGGGAGTGTGTGAAGAGGACAGAGTGAAGGACACTGACAAGACTGAGAAAATGGGCACAAATTGAAACACAGGAAGTACCGTCTGAACATCAGGAAACACTTTTTTGCTATGAGAGTGACCAAGCACTGGAACAGGTTGCTCAGAAAGACTGGAGTCTCCATTCCATCCTTGGCGACAGTCCTGGGCAAATGGCTCTAAGTGGCCCTGCTTGAGCCAAGGGTTTGGACCAGATAACCTCCAGAGGTCCCAACTACTTAGTCCTAGCCTTCTGTACAATGGTGCAGTTAAAATTGCTTTTCAGACAAAACTGTAACTGTGAAATCTGCATAGACACTGAAGACAGAATTTATGATGGCAAACTTTAGCCCAAGGACACAAGTCTTTTCAAGTCATCTCTAAAGTCAGTGAAGAAAGGCAGGACTTCCCCAGAATACTTTACTTAAAGATTCATTCTAGTTATTCCAAATGGAGCTTAGACTACCTGTTTGATTAATACTGAAATCTGGTGATCATACACATGTGCTTCCCTAACCACCCCCACCAACTCTAACATACACCACTTTGTGCAGCTGCATAAAACAAGCTTATCTTTAATCTAGCTCAGTCCCCTGATTCTCCATTCTGTTGCCACACAAGCAGAATGGAAAGGTGGGAAAAGTGATGGATGATATTTAAAACCTAGCCTTTTTGCTGGAAAAAATGCTAATGAAGCTATGACCTCAGCCTTTGAATATCTCAGAGGGCAAACAGAAACTAACAGCACAGAAAGAACTACTTGTATAGTTGCAACTACGATGGGACCCCCCACTCCACAGAACATTCAATATTCTTTTCAGTGTGATGTGAAATGTCCTTTTCCAAGGGTATTTTTCCTGTCAAAGTGGACAGGACAGAGACCCTTTCCAATAATTAGATATGTTCAACTTTCAACTCCTGGAGTGAATATTTATTTCCATCAACTCTGAACAGACTTGCTGCACAGCTCCATCTTTATTAAATTCTTGTCAGCACATTCCAGCAATGATGTTTCCTTTTGCCTAGCAATGTTTTGTGGAGGTAAAACAGTCTCAGAAAAAATAAAATGAGGGGTGTATATGTGTGTGTGTTACTTCATGAACACCAAATCTAAGGGATCAACAGTCTGTGTTATGCTGCAACTAATCTGATTTCAAAAATATATAGGACAGTTTCACCACCTTATTTCTCGGCAAGCAAGAGAACACCTTATAATACAGTCCTTACAGCAGACAGGTGAAAAATAGCATTACTTACCTCATAGAAATAATAAGGTTAAGACTTTAGAGTAATATATGACAGAGTCTATTTTATATGTAAAGCAGTCATTTTACAATCCAATCCTTTAAAAATATTTTCTCTTAATTTTTAATAACTCGGCATTTTTAATAATTCAGAATACCTCTTCAAAACTACATATCTTAACCCAAATTATTTTGTTTTTAGAACTTCTAAATGCATTGGGATTAGCTATATATTTTCTACCATATAATTTATGGCAGACGTTGCCCTTCCTTCTTCTTCCAAAAGAAGTTACACACCTGCCTAGTTTCTTCAACCACGTGCTGCTGATGAATAGCACTTGATAACATGACCCTATCTTCTTTCAAACTCAAAACCCCTCAACAGTCATCTCTTCATAAACAATCCCTACCCACACTGCTTTGTTGATATTTTGCATTGTCTAATACTTTCCAAAACAAGTTGTATGAAGTCAAATTTCATTGAGTTAACTACAGTCATTTGTGTGCTTGCAAGCCTGCGTTAATGACTGCTAACTTATGTTTTCAAACATGCCTCTGCTGAGGAATAGGACTGTCAGTGCTGCAGAAGAAGTGAGTGACCTGTCAATACCTGCTCTTGACTCAGCAATGCACACCTGGTGCGGAAACTTTGAAGATCTCAAATTGCATTTTTCTCTTCATCTGTGGGCAATTATCTCACCATTGGAGAACGTGACCCAGAGAGCTGGGGTTCCCTGGACTTTCTGCAATCTCACCAGCAAAAACAAAGAGTGTTCAGAAAGGATTTACCCTTGCTTCAGCACTGCAAAAGGTCAGTGCCTTAGGGCTAAGTAATGCCACAGGCTAACAAACTGACAGAGATGAGAGCAGTGGTACAAGAG